TCTCTCTCTCTCTCTCTCTCTCTCTCTCTCTCTCTCTCTCTCTCTCTATCTATCAGACAACCCAAATCTTGTGTCGAGGGTTGTGGTTGCCATAGAGACGCTGGACCAGAATGATAATGCTCCGGAGTTGGACAGGCAGTACACAACATCAGTATGTGACTCCAGTGCCCCCGGTCAGGTCTGTTCTCCTTTGCTCCGGTTCTACACTCAACTCAAGTCTTTGCTTTAGTTTTTCTACAGTTGTTTCCAACCCCGCCCAAAAAAGTTTTGAAAATCAAATAATTTCTTCTAATTTCAGTTTCCCCTCTGTAGAATGGTTCTTTTAAAGTGATGCTAAATTTAAATCAATTCTGGACCCCAGTGATGCAATGAAACTGGGAGAATCAAAAACAAACTTTATTCTGAAGCAGCAGCTCCTTCTGGAACTATTAGATTTGCTTGTGCAGTAAATCCCTTGTGGGTGACATCCAGAGCTAGTCTGAAAACGTCTCAGTGGAGAAATAAAATACAAAGTGTCAATTCTTTGAATGAGTTTCGCTGTAGTGTTGTAACATCTTGTAACATTTTGCAAATATCAGCACAGGAGACTTTTATTCATTGTTGCATTACAAGATTTTAAATGTTATAAGAAGAATGAAATGTGTTCAGGATTGACTCACCGCCTCAACGTTCAGGAAGATATTAAATCAAGTGGGTTGCAAAAGTATCCATGCCCTTTGGTAATCTTTTCTTTTGCTGCCTTACAACCTGAAATTTAAATGTGTTTTTGATTTGATTATATTGTGATATTATATTATATATTGATATAAAATTTTCTCTACAAAAAGAGACGTACTGTATATTCCCCCATTTAACTTTATTAATCTGAAGTGTATTTTTAATTATTGGTCAAAATAAAATCTAGACTGTTAGTCAGGGGCAGCATGGTGATGCAGTTGGTAGAGCTGCTGCCTCTCTGCGAGGAGATCGCCGGTCCAAATCCCAGTCCAGGGCCTTTCTGGGTGGAGTTTGCATGTTCTCTCTGTGCTGCGTGGGTTTTCTCCGGGTACTCCGGTTTCCTCCCACAGACCAAAAACATGCATGTTAGACTGATTGGTAACTCTAAATTGTCCCTAGGTGAGAGTGAGAGAGTGAATGGTTGTTTATCTCATTTGTCTCTATGTGTCCCTGTGATGGACTGGAGACCTGTCCAGGTGTCCCCCACCCCTCACACAGTGATTGCTGGACATGGGCACCAGTGACCCCCGTGACCCAAAAAGGAAGAAGCATGTAAAAGATGATGGATGGATGGATGGATGGATGGATGGATGGATGGATTGTTGCTGATAATAAGACTATATGGGGGAGTGTAAATTCTTCTTCAGCTGACTTTAAGCCATCTTGATGTGTATTTCACAGGTCATTCAGGTTCTACGAGCCATCGACAGGGACCAAGGAGGACAGGATGCCCCGGTCCACTTCAGCATCCCTGTTGAGTCCAGCTCTGCCCTGAACCTGACCATCAGGGAAACTGGAGGTTGTTGCTGATTGTTAATGAGACACAGAACAAGAATGCTTGTTGTGTAGTGACACACTTGATTTGTGTGTTTTTGGTCACATGTATCAGGTATGACAGCCAACCTGGTGCTCCAGTCCTCCTTGGAGCCCCTTCCTGGCTTCTCCTCATCTCTGCTCACCCTCTATGTGCCAGTGGTGCTGCGTGACGGAGCCTCGGGTCTGACCAACACTGGCACGGTCACTGTGACCATTTGTCCGTGTCTTCAGGGAGGCATGCAGACGGAGGACAGGGGCCGGCAAAGAGACCCAAGGTGGGAGAGACACGTGGTGTGTCTGCCGGCTGCGTCCGCCTCCCCGTCTCTCATCTTCAGCTTGGTCACACTGCTGGCCATGCTGGCTTGCATCTCCACCATGCTCGGTGGGTTTGACTTTTCTCTCTGACATCTCAGAAAATAAGCTATAAAGATATTTTTGTGACATTCTGAGACACTGAGCGGTTATTTCAGGCTCAGTGTGTGGTCATGTGTCTGTTCTTTGCCCTTTAGTGGTATGTGCGCTGTCGATGTCATTGCGCCATCAAAAACGAGACTGCCACTCACCCTTTGAGGAGGATGATGTCAGGGAAAACATCATATCCTACGATGATGAGGGGGGAGGGGAAGCAGACACTGCAGCATTTGACATTACAGCTCTGCAAAGCATGCACAGAATACAGCACATGCACCACGATGAAAACATGTGAGCCCGTCACTAAAATAGATCAACTTTACTCTCATCACGGAGGTTTGTGTGTGTAACTGTGTGTTTATGTCAATTATCTCTTGGCACAGATGGTACACCCAACAAAATCCACCCAGAGCCAGGACATACAGCTGGAACCGTCACCCCTCCAGGCTGGGCCCTCAGCAGCGGCCAGACTCGGCGCCACTTTACGGACGCCTCTGCTACGGTTTCCAGACGCTGCCTGTTCTCAGAGATTATCCAGCCGGGCCATTGGAGGTGGGTCTTCAGCTAACTCAGCTGACCCAGGGGTTCACAGGAGGTCACACTGGCAATTCCCTCCCCATCCCAAACCAGACGACCTTGGAGCCGCTGCAGCGCTCTCCTGGGAGCAGACTCGATGCTTTCAGAGCCGACCAGACTCTGGCCAAGAGCAAAACTGAAGAGAGAAACGAAAGCAGTGAAGCAAACACAGCTGAGGTGAAACGAAATGAGGAACAGGCCAAGGTCAGGAAAACAAAAACAGTAACACAGCTTCGTGTGTTTTGTGTTTGTGTATGGTTCAGACTGGTGCAGCTTTAGGCTTCTGGGAAAAAAATAAGAAAACATTTATTTCTTCAAATAGACCTTTTTCACGCTTCCATGTTTTAAAGCGGATGTGGTGTTAAACAACTTCCGGTGGCTATAGCGTTAGCATTAGACAGTGAGGAAAATGGCTCAGTCTCGGCGCGGTTGTTTTTGTTCAGTTCCTGGTTGTTCTTGTGGGGCAAGAAAACAACCGTATCTGTCCTGCATGATTTCCACGACGTACCCAGACCAAAGGAGGCGGTGGATCCAAGCGACCAGAAGAGATGATGGTCCCGACTTCTGCATAAAGCCAGGGAGCACTTGTAGCCTGAATTTCACTCAGGAGGATTTTGTCTGTGGATCCACCAGCAGCTGCTTTAAAGGTTGGGCTGTTTCTTTCTCTTCACCTGGAATAATGTCACTGCACCAGCTAAGAGATAGTCTGTTTTTAGAGAGCTCAGAAACAGCAGCTTGTCCTCTCACAGAAAGCTAGCCAGGCTGAAGCTGCTACTGGAGTCCACGTGAAACTCACTTCACCTGGTGCCACATCCACCCACAGGTAAATATCACAGTAAGATGCTACATTATAAACTTGTCATGTAAGTCATGGAGAGATCACGTTACATGCACTGACTCACAAAATGTATTGATCTTCATGGAAATAATGTCAACAATAATAATAATACTAATGTCAATTATCTGTTAACGATCTTGCTATTCAACATTTTTCAGTCAGGTCATCTGGACAGTTTCTTTTTTTGTGCTGAAACGTTTTGCCTTCGATCCGGAAGGCTTCATCAGTCAAGGAAACACACAACAAAACTGATTCTTCCCCCAACAGCTTACTCCAAAGTGAAACAAACCAGTTATGTTGGTGCTAAGATGGTGTCTTTGGCACGCCCCTCCTCCATTGCCGGCCCTCTTCCTTGTTGACAGTCGTGTCAAACTGGTTGAAAACAACAAAGTCCATGCTCAATAATCAATCAATCAAGGAGGGGGCGTGCCAAAGACACCATTTTAGCACCAACATAACTGGTTTGTTCCACTTTGGATTAAGCTGTTGGGGGAAGAATCAGTTTTGTTGTGTGTTTCCTTGACTGATGAAGCCTTCCGGATCCAAGGTGAAACGTTTCAGCACAAAAAAAGAAACTGTCCAGATGACCTGACTGAAAAATGTTGGATTGTATACCTGGATTATTGAGCATGGACTTTGTTGATCTTGCTAACCATATTTTATTTTGTGGTTTTACAGGTGCACTCCCAGCTGTCCTCGTTCTGCTCAGTCCTGTGTTGGTGGACTCTCACTCCTGCTTGAGTCACCATGATTAGTCAGTGTCTTACCTGAGAGAAGATTGGCTGACTGAACTAAAGGCTGGGGCCATTTTCAACTATTTTTATATGTGAATGTGAGGCCCATGTTTGTTTTGCAGTTCTTAAATATGATTCATATTTATTTTTGTTTACTTAATTTCATATTTATGTTCCAGGTTGAAGGTGCAGTCCAGTCTAGTGTAGGTTCCGTTCCACTCGTGTCTCGTGCATCACAGCTTGTGGGTGAATTTCTGCTCTTGTTACCTTGAACCATCCTTCTGTCTTTTAGTTCACTGATCACTGGAAAACCTCGGCCTTGGCTCAATATTTAAGAATCATTATTGCCTCCATTAGAATAGGTTTTTAACTTGGTGTTAATAAAATTTATATTGTATCTTGGAACAGTCTCCTGCTTACTTGTAAACAAACCCAAGTGTCTTTTCTGTATAAATTATGTCCTTGGATGAAAGTCCTAAGGTCGTGTTGCAGTAAGTTTATAAAATAAAAATAACATCCATACCCAAGCTTGTTACATATTGTTCTAGTGTTATGTAATTAGTTATTTAAAGGTTTTGAATTATTTTAAACATTCTTCAATTAAAACACACTTGAGCAGCATACTGTACTGTTTTTATTTAATTTGTGGATTGATTCAGTTGTATTGAAAGAAAAACAAGTGTATCCTGATGCATGCTCAATAATCCAAGTAGAAAAATCTAAAAACGTTAAATCGGTCCTCTGGAGTCCAGTGGAGCAATGAGATCCTAGGGAGGATCTGAAGAGGCAGGCCGTGGAAGGTCCTGGAGGAGTCACAGTTGGTGAGAACCAGCTGCAACAAAGGTTAGTCGGCTGTACACAAGTTACCATTTGGTAGATGATGTTCCAGCACTGAAGAGGTGTCTGACAGGTGCTTAAGTACCCCATCAGGCAGTCCTCCTCAGAGCAGCAGCAGGTAGAGTGAGTTGAGGTTAATTGGCTGTGAAGGGAAGAGTGAGTGACAGGCAAAAAAAAACACGAATCCCACAGTGCCCGCCTCAAGAATTGCCTCTTGGCGATATAAGTCTCTTTTCGGGGTGAGCTTGAAAGAAGGACGAGATGAGTCCGGAGTCCAGGATCTGAGATCTAGGAACACATGATCGTTCCTCCGGACCGTAACCCTCCCAATCCACCAGGTATTGGACTCCCTGACCACGACGCCGTACGTCCAAAAGGCGTCAGACCGAGAAGGCCGGTTCGTTGTCTATGAGACGGGGGGGGGAGGTTGGTCGGAGGGTGTAGAGGGCTGGTGGTTACTGGTTTGATCTGAGATACTTGAAAGGTAGGGTGTATCTTCATGGCAGGCGGGAGTTGTAGACATACCACTGGCCGGTTAATCACCTTTACCACAGGAAACGGCCCGATGAACCTGGGGGAGAGTTTCCTGGGGGTGTCTTTTAAGGTTATGTCTTTGGTAGACAGCCAAACCTTTTGACCGACCTTGTAGTCAGGAGCCTTGGATCGACGTCTGTCAGCGAAGCGTCTGTTCCGAAGATCTGGACAGAGCTGCTCTCGTCTGACGCCAGATCCGACGGCAGCATTTGATGTGAAGGTGGACCGAGGGGACGCCCACATCAGGCTCCTGTGAGGGGAATAGCGGAGGAGCAAAGCCCATAGCGACCTCGAAAGGAGATTTTCCAGTGGCTGCAGAGGTTTTTGAATTGTGGGCATACTCAATCCAAGGCAGATGTTGACTCCAGGATGAGGGATTGCTGTCAATTACACACCTCAATCAATGTCTCCAACTTTTAGTTCAGGAGGTGAACCTGAAGAGATGGCTGAGCGGAGGCATCTCAAAGAGCATTTTTCTCACCCCTTTTCAACTCTATTTTCGACCCAGTTAATTTGAGGATTGTGTAATTTGAGCCAGGGATGACCCAAGATAAGTTGTGGTGTAAAAGAGTCGAAAACAAAAAAACTCACCCGTCTCTCTGTGATTTCCAGATACTACGAACGTATTTTTTTATGTCTTTAATGAGATGGAAGAGATGGTTTGCCCAGTGAGAGCAGAGACGGTGATAGCTGGTGTTAAGTTGATTGTGGGGATATGTCGTTCCTCCACCAGGTTTCTGCTGATTAGGTTCTGTTCAGCACCGGAATCAATCAACGCCTGGATAGGAAAGTTGACAGAGTTAATGCAAATGATTGTTGGTAGACAGATTCTTTTCAGGAGACAAAGAAGTGGTACCCACCAGTATCTTCTGTATTACTGGTGGGCTTTGTTTTTTTACCCGTAGTTTGCAAGCAGCAATTACATGATCCTTTTTCCCACAGTACATGCAGGCGTTGGCCTTGAAGCGGTGCTGTCGCTTCTAGGGAGAAAGCTGAGTCGTACCAATCTGCATAGGTTCGGGGTCAGATGTGGAATCCATGGTTGCGGAGTCATTACGTCCGGGAAGAGGAAGCTTGTGGAACTTGTAGTCCTCTTCTAAGAGGCTCTCCCGAACCCTGTTGTCTATTCGAATGGCCAGAGAAATTACGTCATCCAAATCCGAAGGGATGTCCCGGGTGACTAGTTGGTCTTTAATCTGTCGATTTAAAGCGTTAATGAATGCACTGCGTAACACTATCTCACCCCAGCCGGATTCCTCGGCGATGATGGATGGCGAATTTGGACACCGTCTCTTTCCCCTGACGTAACATAAAAAGTTTTTGGGCTGCCTCCTCTTGTTGCAAAGGATGGTCAAAGACCCAAAGAAAATCCTTCAAGAAGGTAGCAAACGTCAGAGTTTCGATGGGGCATCTATGAAGGTAAGCATGTGCCCACTGAAGGGCTTCTCCTTTTAAAGCACTAACCACATAAGTTATGCGGGCAGAATCGGATGAATAGGTAATGGGAGCATGATTAAATGCCAAGTTACACTGGAGAACGAAGCCACCACATTTGCGTGTGTTACCTTCGAACATCTCCGAAGGTCGAACCTCCGGTTCCTTGGGGCACGGATTGTTAATCCTAATCGTAGGTTCCAGAGGGATGGGCTGAGTCGAAGATGAAGCTTGGTCCGCCATTTGTTTCTGAAGAGAGAACACCATACCACCCAACTCCCGTAGATTGTCCTGAGTTGTTTGTTGCTGCACAAAAATTTGCTGTAAAGTTAAGTGGAGAGGGTCAGTGTTTACTTTTGGTTCTAACTGAGTCTTTACCTCCTCAGTCTTGCTCGGGGGGTCCATTGGCTGGGACATACTATCAGGTTTTTATAAACGTCGACCCCCACGTGAGCAGACCGATTCAATAAAGACAGAGCCAGAACTACAAAAGGTAAGTGAACTTTTATTTACAGGTGATCGTGTCGTCGCAGCTGTAAGTGAGAAGAGGAATAGGTGAGTATGGGTTCTGGTTGTCTTTTTGAATGTTTTAATTCTTGAATATAGAGAGATGACTCCTTACTGTTTGTGTTGTAGGTGGAGGCCAAGAAGGAGAGGAGAGGTCCAGGATTTTTGTAGGAGATCCAGTCCTGAGGTATTTGGTGGTGGAGAGAGGAGCAGGTTGACCCAGTTGAAGATGCTTATTGGTGGTTGTTGAAGGGACACCGTTGAGTTGTTGTTGGAGTGAGTTGAGGTTAATTGGCTGTGAAAGGAAGAGTGAGTGACAGGCAAAAAGCCCACAAATCCCACAGTGAGGACTTTTAAGGTTGCTAGAAAACTATACTGATCTGTTTGATGGTCACTTTGGTTGCACGTTGTTGGCAGAGCATGTCATTGTCACTAGGAATGCGAGTCTGCATTTTCTCCCCGTGAACATGGGTTTTCTCTGGGTACTCAGTTTCATCCCACAGACACAAAGGTTCATTGGTCTAACGCTTGATTGTTCCTGGGTTGTTTTGTCTCAAAACAGCCACTGGCCAAAAGGATGGCCCAGCACAGAAGAGCAACATCATCAGGCCAGCACTCTGCGGTCTACACTCATCTGCAGGTCAGAGGTCACTTGTTCAGAGACGAAGAATATCCTTGGTAGAAAGGAATGATGGTTTGAGAGAGGAGTAAAGGAAGCCATCTTTGTGAAGAGAAACTGTCCATCATTAAACAGGGGTGGAGCCTCCGGGTTCAACTGTCCCCCTTTTACAATGTTGTTATTGCTAGTATCGCTCAACCCTCTGTGAATAGCAAATGGCCATCAGGGCATTAACGATCAGTTGTTAAGCTGATGGTCCTCCTTGATCATGTGAACAGCTAGTTCTGAATGTCAACAACAAACTGGTTGATCCACTACGAGAAGGTGCTATTTATAAGACTGAGTTTGTTGCAGCTCCTCAGACTGAAGAAGTATTTTGGCTAAAAGATGAAACCTTTCAACAAGAAGAATCCATCCAGAGGACCTGAATTAACTTTGTTAGATTTATTTGTTATCAGTCTTTTTTTCCCCAACAGCCTGTATATAACAAACACTGAAATTCTGTCATGACTAGAATTTGGTGTGACACCCCATAACTAACAGCGCCCCCATCTGGCCCTGCTTAGAAAACTTTCTTCATCCTCTTCCTGCCATCAGAGCAGACAGTTCTATGTCGTATAAGCTTCGCCCTTTAAGGCCTTCGCTTTAGTG